GACAATCCAAAGACCACTGTCTTAGCAGCAGTCAAAACATTTCTGTGGTAGTGGCTTAAAGGATCAAGTCCTCTTGAATTCTGTGTATAGGATATCTACAGCAATAAACTGTTTGTTTGAGTCTCTGACATCTGTGTATAAATTTAAGGTACCACCTGTTTGACAGTGAGGAATACGCTGACTTCTGGCTCTTACCTCTTTTCTAGCAAGATCTTCATTATTGTCAAAGATTAACAGGTAGACCTTTCTTAGCAACCTTTTACCAGTCCTATTAACATGAAATCCCAAGCATTCTGCAAAGCCTGTTTGAACCACGTACAGTGAAGGCAGGGGATTCTTGATATAGCACTTCCCTGACTGCTTTCCAGTCGGCCTCTGCAGGATGTTACAGAGAGAGGCATCCCACAGGTCATGAAAGGCTTGTGACGTGGCTTTAAGCCCAGTTATTTGGGTTGCTGAGTTTAAGAGCTACAGGCATGGTTGAGAAAAGGACACTGCTGAGGAGCACTCTCTCTTCCTTCACACTGCATTCTATTACAGATCACTCCATACAACTCATCAGCACAGGGTACAACATATGAGATGAAAACAGCATCGGACTTACATTCAAACTTCCCAGGTTCCTATTCAGTGTTTATATATTTAGTATCCCTTAAAAAGCTATGAATTCTTGAGTGAGTGTTATGTCCAGATATCTGGAGGTAGTTTCTTTTCCATTTGTCTCTCTCTGAAGAGTTTTGCTCTTCTTCCACATAATGCAGCTATTTTCCTCCATTAAATTACTAACATATATGGATATTTTCCCAAATAACTTAGTGCTTCTCCCCTCTTATGTCCTGTTGTTAAACACAGTATTCTTCTGAACAAATGTTTCCAAATGAGATTTTGACTATCAGACAGATTTCTCTCACTCCCTGAAAACACCTTTTTTAGTTTGTTGTCACTGGCAATCAGGACACTATCAGGACACTATCACCATAGCCCGATCACTTTTGTTTATGATCTGTGATTAGATACTAATTTAACACATCTCCTCAACATACCCTGTTGTTACTTATGCAGCACTGGCCATGGCTTTCAGAAGAGCTTTACCATTGGCATTTTGATAGCAAATGTTGTCATTCTTCTGTCTTTCAAATTTCGCATAATTTAGGTTTAATTTTCCCACTCCTATGCTGCTTTTCTGCAGTTAATGAACTTTTCTTTAGCGATGTATATTCTTTGATGAGTTTGAGATCATAACTTTCACTCTTTTACAGAACTAAAAAGATGCTTACTGAGCTCAGGCTCCATTTCAGTGCTATATCTTTTGAATCTGTTTCATTTCTCAGTAGAAATTCTGCTACAACTAAATCCAGGTTTAGGGTTATACTTTCCATTATGCAGTTACACAAAAACAACTGAAGAAAACAAGACAATACTGTTTAGCATTCTAAAATAACTTTTTCTCTGATGCAAAATTTGTTTTTTGAAGGTCTGCTGTTTGAGATCCACAAAATGTAACCAAATCTTAGAGTCTCTTGAACTGTCATTCTTGAGCTGCTTTAGTTGATTCCTGATACAACTCAGTGATGTGGTTTTCAGTATAATTTACCTTCAAAATCTTGCATGAGGGAATATGAGATCATACCTCTAGATCAGTTAATCCCAAGATGACAGCTGGAACAGCATTTCCTACAGCATCTATCTTGGAATAATCTTTCTCTGACTAATTTTCACTTCAGTATTTCAGCCTATTAAATAATTTTGCTTGTTTGTAATTATCATTTGGCCTAGTAACTCTAAAATCTTTCTTGTACCTTGATGGCAAATTGTGATAAATCAGAGGCTGATTGAATTTTACTTTCAATACCTTGCAGTGATCCTGGTTAAGTTTGGTTTTTTTTTTCATTGTGGTTCTCTTCCCTTTTGCTGCAGGCACATTGCCAGTTTCATACTGCGATAAATTTAAAAGCTTTCTTTTTAGTTCATAACAAACTCTGTCTTCTCCAAACTATCCCCAAATACTCCCTTCTCTTGAATCTGTTTTTTTTTTTTCTTTCTGAATTAGATACTGGGTTTGCTAGTTCAGGTACAGTAATACAGGTTTCTTCCCCCATCTTTTCTGCTCAAACTGATTCACTGCTCCAATTTTGCAGGTATGCTGGACCAAATTTTTAGAGGTCCCTAACCACCCTTTACAGTTATTTGATCATCCTTTAATTTTCATCTGTGATGCATCTGCTGGGAGGCACAGGTTGCTCTTCAGCAGCACCTTTTGAATTGTCACTTCCTTGAGATCTGTCACCACCAGATGGAGTAATTTCAGGGTTATCAAAAATTTTCAGAAATTTTAAGTCTCAATTTTAACACTCATCTCTGGAGCAGTGGAGAGATAACATAAGAGCAAATAAAATTTATAGGCACATAAAAAGCACTGCCTTGGCAAACCCTTGGCTCTGGGGATTACTAACAAGGGAGACTTAATATTAATCAACAAAATGTATAAATTATTAATATAGTTTTACAGAAACAAGAACAAAGAAATAGTTTATTGAGGATATTTCAGAGAAGAAGTGGTATAAAAGGCATTAAAATACAGTATGAGATGGCAATGTCAATAGTATTGACCTGGCACCTACTGATGCCAGTGGGTGCATTGGTTTTGGTTGCAGTGGCGATTAGAGCAGGGTCACAGAGCAACAGAAGCAACTCCTCTTGCATCACTCCGTGAGCACGTGTAGCACTGATGGGAGTGCCAGGCTTCTTCCCCCAAAAATCTACTCCTTCAGTCTGATGTGCAACAAAGGTCCAGACCCTGTAAAGACTGCGTAGCTTTGTGTTGGAGCCAAACATGCAAGTTTCTGATGACCATGAGATTAGTCCCACAAGACAAACGAGAGAGAGCAAACTCAAACACATTGGCAAACCTGTGGGGGCTGTGAATGACTGGTGCCCTGAGGAACACAGTCTGGGAACAGGATTTACATATATTCAAGTGCAACAGTACCTACTTGAGTTAGGGTCTGCGGGGGGTGTGTTTGGCTCTCAGAACAGCATTTGGATAACATAAACAGTACTGGAAAAGAGCACACTAAGGTCTCAGTGATGGAAAACATGGCTATAGGAGAATAGCTCTGAGAAGTCCAGCAGGGGCATGCAGAGGGTGTCCAGTGACCAGCAGCAAGCAGCCTGGTAACATAACAGATGAAGCAAAGCCACAGTGAAAACACCTGAGGTGGAAGGAACATGAAAGAGGACAAGGACTGACACATAAGTGGTGGTAACAGAAAAAGTCTCAGTAGTTTGGTTGGACAGGGGCAATGAGGGCGTCGGGGGGGGTGGTTCACCTAAGAGGCCCCACTGTGGATCTTTGTGATGGTTCACTGGAAGGAAGGAGGCAAATCACTAGGGGCAGTGGGGAAAAGCACATTCATGGGTTTGGGGAGGGGGCCTGCACTGCACAGGTGAGAAACACAATGATTACATATTTTCTAGGAAGAGAAATATTAATGAGGCCACATCTGGAGTACCATGTCCAGTTCTGGGCTCCTTGGTACAGGAAAGACAAGAAACTACTGCGGAGGATCCAGATGTACAAAAATGATCACTCTTATGAGAGCGAGGGAGTTGGACCTGTTTATCTAGAGAAGACTGGGACAGAACCTCATTAATGCATATAAATATCTCAAAGGCAGGTGCCAAAAGGACAATTCCAGACTCTTTTCAGTGGTGCCCAACAACAGGATACGGAGCAATGGCCATAAACTAAAACACAAGAAGCTTCACCTCAACATGAGGAAGAACTTCTTTACATGGCAGGTGGCAGAGCACTGGAACAGGCTGCCCGGGGAGGTCATGGAGCCTTTCTCTCTGAAGACATTCAAAATCCACTCGGGCATGTTCTTGTGTAACCTGCTCTAGATGACTCTGCCTTGGCAGGGGGGTTGGACTAGATAATCTTCAGAGGTCCCTTCCAACTCTAATGATTTTGTGATGCCAAACTGGGGCTGGTTACACCTGCGGCAGGGAACTTCTCTGGCAAGGCTGCAGGTGGCAGAGCAGGTAAGAGAGCAGCAAAGTGAGGCATGGCACGGCAAGGCATGGTGAGTGCTGGATCCTGCCTTTGGTCACAATAACTCCATGCAGGCTGGGGCAGAGTGGCTGGAAAGCAGCTCAGTGGAAAAGTACTCAGGAATGATGGTTGACATTTGACTGAACAAGAGCCAGCAGTGTGCCCAGGTGGCCAAGAAGGCCAGTGGCATCCTGGTCTGTATCAGAAATAGTGTGGCCAGCAGGACCAGGGAAGTGATTGTTTTCCCTTATACTCGGCACTGGACAGGCCTCACCTTGAGTACTGTGTCCAGTTCTGGGCCCCCCGTTACAGAAAAGATATTGTGGTGCTGCAGGACATTCAGAGAAGTGCAGCAAAGCGGGTGAAAGGTCTGGAGCCGCTCAGGGGCAGCTGAGGGAGCTGGGGGAACTCATCCTGGAAAAGAGGTGGCTCAGGGGAGACCTTATTGCTCTCTGCAGCTACCTGAAAGGAGGCTGAAGCAAGGTGGGGATCGGTAAGTAGCCGACAGGAGGAGAGGACATAGTCTTAAGCTGCACCGGAGGAGGTGGCCATTAGGAGAAACGTCTTCACAGAAAGGGTGATTAGACGTTGGAATGGGTTGCCCAGGAAGGCGGTGGAGCCACCATCCCTGGAAGTGTTTAAGAAAAGACTGGACGTGGCATTAAGTACCGTGGTTTAGCTGACACTGTGCTGTTTGGTCACAGGCCCGGTGACCCGCTGCGTTCCCATGCCACCTGCCTCCCTCGATCCCGTGCTCCGCGGCCCACGCCCCCCCGGGCGGAGGAAGCCCCCTGTGGCCCGGCGGCGGCGCACGCGCTGTTCGGTGCGCGCTCCTCTCGGCCGCCAGTCTCGTCTGCGTCGGTGCGAATCGCGGCCCGCGCCCTGCCCGCGCTTCTGCCCCGCTCGGCGCCCGCTCCGCCGCGAGGTAACGGCGGGGCGGCGGTGGGGCGTGTGGCGGCCGGGACTGCGGGTCGTGGGCAGTGGTGATCAGCGTGCGGCGTTCGTGGTGGTTAGAGGAGAAGAAAGACGGTTACGGGCTGGGCCTGAAGGGAGGCTCGGCTGTGCTGGGCTGGACTGTGGCCTGGCTCGGCGGCGCTGCGCCGATCTGAGCCCGCTCCCGGCCCTGTGACGGGGCGAGGTGCCGCGGCCTCTGAGGGTCGTGTGGTGTGCGGGCAGGGGCGGCTGCGGGGCCCCCTGTGCCCACTTGCCCCACCTGCGTGCCACACCCGCCTGTGCCGGCGCTCTTATTGCTTCCGCAGATGAAGGAGACCATCATGAACCAGGAGAAGCTGGCCAAGCTGCAGGCCCAAGTGCGCATCGGTGGCAAGGTAGGAGCGGCCACCTCGTCCCGCCCTGCTCTCGGGACTGCGTGTCCTGCACCCACACTGGGCCTGGCACGAGGGGTCATGGAAATGGAGTGGGAGCAGACCTGAGCATTCCCAGCTCGGCTGGACTGTCCTTAGAGATAGCGGCGCTGCTGCAGGGCGCTCTGGAGTCACATGCCTAGGGACAGTATGCAGTAGCTGAATCTCCAGCTATTTCACTTTATTTTTCTTATGTTAAAGCAGACTTAACACCCGATATTAGGGCGCACGGGAATCTCATGTCGTTTAATAAGACCAACTGCACGGTGCTGTACCTGGGTCGGGGCAAGCCCCTCTATCGATACAAGCTGGGGGAAAAAAGATCGAGGGCAGCCCTGCTGAGAAGTACTTGGAGGTGTTGGTGGCTGAGAGGTTGGACATGACCCAGCAGTGTGCACTCACAGCTCAGAAAGCCAGTTGTATCCTGGGCTGCGTCACAAGCAGTTTAGGCAGCAGGTCAAGGGATGGGGTTCTGCCCCTCTGCTCTGGTGAGACCCCACCTGGAGCGCAGCATCCATCTCTGGGGTCCCCAGAAAAGCTCCCTGTTGGAGCGAATCCAGAGGGACACTGAGTTGATCAGAGGGATGGAGCACCTCTCCTGTGGGAAAAGGCAGAGAGAATTGAGATTGTTCAGCCTAAAGAAGAGAAGGCTTCAGGGTGACCTAGTTGCAGCCTTCCAGTACCTGAAGGGAGCCTACGATAAAGATGGGGCAGGACTATTTACGAGAGCATGTAGTGACAGGACAAGGGGGAGTGGGTTTAAATTGAAAGAGGGTAAGTTTAAATTAGATATTAGAAAAAAGTACTATGGGGGTGGTGAGACACTGGAACAGGTTTGCCCTGGGAAGTAGTGGATACCCCATCCCTGGAGGTGCTCAAGGCCAGGTTGGATGGGGCTCTGAACACCCTGGTCTAGTTGAAGGTGTCCCTGCCCACAGCAGGGAGTTGGAACAAGATGATCTTTATGGTCCAGTCCAAACCATTCTATGATTTTATGATTATTGTATGGGCTGTTGTAGAAGACATGAAAGATTTTTAGTGAGTAGACCTTAGAGCAAGTGAGCTTGGGTATAGTTTACATAACAAATTGTAGAGGGATTTGTTACAGGCTCTTGTCAGAAATATTAAGGTTGCTCAAAGCTGGTTTTTTGTCTTTCAGCACAAGTTGGAAATTCTGTACTTGTCACATGCCTGTAGTTTTAGACTAATATGCTCAGAAGACATTTTCATTTTGTTAAGACATCTGAATATATGTACCTGTGTGCTTACTTATAATCTGAAAAGATAAAAGGGATGTTTAGTATAGTTGTATGGCAGTATATATTTTAATTACAGTGTGAGTCTTAATTCAGGAATTTGTCAGTAATGTTTTTATACCTGTGGGAGCATACACAATATTCTAGAATACAAATTATTCAACAGAACTCTTGCTGAGGAGTTTCCAGGAGCTTCCATTCCTGTGGGGTTTGGTTTTGTTTTTTCCTCTTTTTTGGCTGACCGCTGGAGATTTAGGCAGTCTTAAATCAGGATTAGTGTACTTATTAGTTGTCTTGGTGATTTTTGCATATTCTTTGTATGAGTTACTGGTTAATTAGAGTACTCCTGTATTATGTTGCTGATTTTGTGCATGTTAATCAGTGTATGTTGACTGTAGAGGCTTTTAATGTTTGTCACATAAGAGCATGTGTTCAGATTACAGCTCTCACAGCTCTCTGGTCAATATCAAAAAAGTCTTTTAGAGACATTAAGCAAAGCTTTGAATGGTGGTGCTGTAGTTTAGTTTTAAAATTGACCCGTGAAATATTTGGAAAGCCTGAACTAGAGTTTTTATTTTTTTTTTTTTTTTAATAGTTCCAGATTATACCTGGGATTCTTCATGGCATTGTTGCCATGTAAATTGAGATGGGTGTGGAGGAGGTACATGTTTCTACATAGTCCTGGAATGTTTTGAAATTTACTGAGTTCTTTGGTCCAGAGAGACTTAGCAAATACCTTATCTGTCTCAATTTCTGGGTAGACAAGGCACTAAAATGAAGCCATTTCTGTCATTTTTAATCATTTCCAAACCACTGTATGTGCTAACCTGACAGTAGCAGGGAATGAATATCAAGCTTTCTAGACAAAAACCTAAACTTCTGAGATGTAGTCTTCCAAGTGTTAGTTTCATATGAATTTGTCATTAACACTCCTTGTTATTGGTAACTGAGTTATGTTAGAGTTGTTAGTGTCCAGCCAGTTTTCTGACTTCTGACAGTAAACTGAAAAGGTATTCCAGCTATTTGTATGGCTGGGCAGCAACACATTCTCTTAGTGCTATCATGTGGCAGATGAGCAACTGGAGTAGGAGGACTTAGATTCGTAGTTACAGGATGTAAAAGAGGAGCTTAGTTTCACTTATTCCTAGACATTTTATGTCATATTTTACTGAACCCTTATGATTGTGCGAGGGAGTATAGAATGACATTTTGTGCTTTTTCATGGGTATAGTTAATCTTCTAATGTGGGACAGAAATTTCCCTGGAGAAATCTAGAGCTCTGGGTCTGTAGGGAACTTAACCTTTTCTTGTTTGGATTATAAATTGGGTTGGTCTGGAACATTTTTTACAAATGAATTTACAAAATATTTTAGAAAAATAGGTGTTCTTCAAATATGTAAGTCCATCAGATGGGACATGACTATCTGGAATAAAAATGGAGTATTTTGAGTTTTCTTATATTCATTTATTAATCATGTGTTTATAACTTTATGGCTTCTGACTATTACCAAAATTTGACTAATTTAAGAAAGATGATCTAAGGAAAAAGTAGTAAGCTTCAGAAATTACCTAAAGCTGTTCATTCTTTAGTTTTATGTCTGTGATAGCTTGGGTTAACAATGTGGTAAACTTGCAATTTCTCTTTTCTAAGATGTTGCAGAATACTGTAAGATTTGTGGAATAAATATTTTCTGGTACATTGCTTCCTAAAACCTCATGCTTCTCACAGACTGTGCAAATATTGCCTTGTAGCAAGGGAAACACTGCTGCAGTGCAGCTGGAGGGCGGGGTTGCGTGCACTGTAACAGAAACACAGTAGTAGAATTTTATATGTTGAGTTGATTTGTCGATGTTGTAAAGTAGTTACACAGCCCTGAGGATTCGAGTTTATGAAGAACTACTTAAGTTTTTGGTTTTTTTGCAAAGGGTACTGCCCGCAGAAAGAAGAAGGTTGTTCACAGAACAGCTACAGCAGATGACAAGAAACTTCAGTTTTCATTGAAGAAACTAGGAGTCAACAATATTTCTGGAATTGAAGAGGTAATTGCTTTAAAGGAAAAAACATTCTATATATAAATAGAAAATGTATTAAAATCAATTTTCTGGTAAGTAACATAGCTCCTAAACTTGTCTGTAAGATATCGATAGGTCTTCATAGGGCTTTAAGAACTTCAATTTCATGTTGAATTGAAAGATCTTGCTAAACTGCATCAAGTACTGGATTTTTTTTCTTGCAGGTAAACATGTTTACCAATCAAGGAACAGTCATTCACTTCAATAACCCAAAAGTTCAAGCGTCTCTGGCTGCTAACACTTTCACTATCACTGGCCATGCTGAGACAAAGCAGCTGACAGAAATGCTTCCTAGCATCCTAAACCAGCTTGGAGCTGACAGTTTGACCAGCCTGAGGAGATTGGCAGAAGCCCTACCCAAGCAATGTAAGTTGAAACTTGAATGCATTTCATGCTGGCAGCTGATGTGAGGCAGTGCACTCTTGCTGTTTGCAGGCATACTGTAAAATGCCTATAAAAAATGGATCTCCTTAGATCTTATTTATAGCTCAAATCCAATAACAAGTATAACTCCGTAGAGTCACCTGTTGGCATGTCTTGCAGCTGGTCTAGCACTGGAAAGCTGTAGCCAGACTTGATTTTGTAGTAGTTTACTTCTTGATGTAGGTACCATATTTTGATGTACCTTGTTCATTAAAGCTAGGTGGATGAATTACTTTTGAAGAGTTAGGTTTTAAAGAAAGATAAGCTTTGAGTATGTCTCTTTTGACACTTTGAATGGAAATATAAGTAGTGGGGAAAGGGACTTAAAAACATCTTGCAATTGCTTTTCTGCCTCACAGGTGTGGTGAAGGTATTTCTTGCGTGAGCTTTTTATTAAGTAGGAGGGAATTACACCGTATTTGTAAGGAAGTACATTGTCATTTCAGTATGCATAGAATAGTGCAGAGAATAGGACTGGCGTGAGCATCAAGCTAGATACACCAATTTCCTGTTCCATCCTTAAATTAGTAAAACAGCTTGAACGTTTGTTCTTTCTAAAACTATGTGGGAATAGTAGAGGAGGGAGTTGAGTATGTGGTGTTTGGAAAAGATGCTGCCACTAAGGATGAGAATTAGGAGTGAAAGACAGGCTTGTTGACACTGGGAACATTCCTTATGTCCTTCATGTACAGTCTTCCTACTTTCTGAAGTACCTTAAGCCTGTTCCTTTTAAGGTATGAAACATCCTAAATACAAAAAAAATTGAGGAATATAATTGTGTCCAGTTTCTGGTAATTCTAACTAGATTGTTAATTTTTTTCTTCCTCTTGCCAATGAAACCGCCTCTATTTCCATTCCTAAAGTTGGTGATCGTTCCCTCCTGTCAACTTCCCTCTGAAAAAATCCTGCTAGAAGTAACTGTCTTCAGGATGTGGGGTAAAGTGCTTCTTTCCCCATGGTCCTTGGGTCCCTTCTTCCTAATATCATCTGTGTGCAGCTTCCTTGTGATAGTAGTAGGCTTGAAAGAACTTCCCTCAAGTTCTGTCTTCTCATAACAAGGTGGTTATATTCTAAGATAAATTGTGTAGTTATAATAAGAGGGACGTTTGTTTGAAGTGATTGCTTTGTATGACCTAGTTCTTTTCCAGTTAGGGTGGATGGCAGAATATGCACAAAACTTTCCATTCAGTATTGTCAGCTAGATTTGGAAGCCTAACATCAGCGAGTGAAACATCTGTGATGATTGCAGGTGCTAAAGTAAACATGGAGATGAGAGACAATGCAGGCAACTTAGGAGGAAATAACATGGTTTGCTTTTAAAATGTCCTGTTTGACACTAAGATGCACTTGAGATTTAAGAGCTTTCTGCTGTTAAAAAAGCAAATGAAGGTTAGTGGTGTCCTTATCCCGAGCCCTTTCAAACCAAAGTTTATACATTCATTGGCTCTGGTTGTCTAGAAATTATTGTACAGGTCTAGTATGAACCCGTCTTGTGCCTTATGCTTTTTTTGAAAACTAGGAAGGATGAATCAGAACAAAACTGAGGTGATAGAGGATATGAGACAGCTTACCCTTGGTAGTACAGCAAAGAGTAGCAGTAAAAGTAGTGGCACCTGAGATATGTTCTTAGTGTTATACTGCTGCAGTTCAGCAGATGCTTGTTGGTCTGCTACTGTGGATATGGTCAACTCTCTACCTCTTGTCAAATACAATGGGAATGGTTAAAGAAATTACTGAGGCAGCAAACTTGGGGACCAGAAGACTTGGTCACCTCAACCACCTAAGAAGTGTAAAACTGTGCATCCAGTTCCCTAATTCTCTGACTTTGCCAGGGAACAGTAGTGTCTTTTAAATACTTCTAAGTCATGTGTGTCCCTGCAACTTCCCAATTGCACCTCAGTTTTCTTTGAATGTCTAGGATCATAAGATCCTTTCTTTTCCTTTAAAATGGATCATGTAAAATACATAAATCTTGAGAAACATGCAGTAATCAATAAACCAACCTACTTTTAAGAGAAATTGGTAAAATCAGTCTGTGCATCGTACTTGAAAATTACTATTGTGCGGGGCACTCAGTATAGTTAGATACAAGATGGTGACCAGTAAGCTGGTTTAGCACACATCTTCTGATTTCCCCGCTGGACTCTTTGAGCATTATCAGTAACAAAGGAGTGTGAACTTCCTAGGTTAGTTGAAGATTTTTGTTCAGCAGGGGAACTGGATAAAGCATTGTATCTTATCTCAGGGTCTTACATAATGCTTTCAAAAAACACAAAGCAAAACAGCTAATGAAGATGTTTATGGTGAGTTTGAATGACACTTTTGAACTTCTTGCTCTTGCAGCTGTGGATGGAAAAGCACCTCTTGCTACTGGTGAAGATGATGATGATGAAGTTCCAGGTAAGAACAAGCATGCAATGGAGGAAAAGGAAGTGAATTTTGCTTAGGGATCTCAACATAAGTAGAGCATATAAGATCAGGCTGGGGATGGTAAAAGTATTGACTAGTCACTTGCTGCCACAGAATTTCTGCAGGCAGATTATTTCCTTGAATTCAGATACCATGAGAGACTTAGTAGTTTGAGCTAGTATTTTGGTCTTGTGTAGAAGTAATAGCTATGGCTAAGACAATTATTTAATATTCCATAAGAACGGTGTGAAGAAAATACCTTCTCAGTATGATTTTGCCCAGTTGTGGGTATAGTGAAGTTAAATGCTTTTAAAATTGTGCTTTAAAATGAGTCATCAAAAACTTCCTTGGCTGAGCAAAGAGAATGAATCATGAAGCTCTTAGAGGTTATTTGGTCTGTATTTTATAAGCTGAAAGTTTTTATCTTGTAAAAACTTGATATGAAGTGGAACTTTGGACAAAAATCCAAATCCAAAATGTTTGGAAAAGGGAAAGTGGGTCAAATTTTAATTCCAAGAATCTTCTTTTTCTAGATCTTGTTGAAAACTTTGATGAAGCTTCGAAGAATGAGGCAAACTGAACTAAGTGTCACTTTCTGAATAAAACCGAAACTTGAAAAAGCTACATGGAGCTGCTGTTTTATATTGTGACTGCTTTGATTTCATTTCCTGATGAGATCTCAAGATCTGTCACATTTGGAAACTCCTTGAATCTGCAGCTCCTTAGTTAATGCTTGTACACAATATTATTTTTGTGGCCCGAACAGACATATGCTTTCAAATAAGTCAGATTGCTAACAAATTTCTGCCTAGACACATTTTTTGAGTAACTTGTATACAAGCAAAACCCTATCTTTAATGAACTTTGGCATACAATAAAAACATTAAAAAAAGTTTCTGGTGTGGCTTTTTTTCAGAAAAGCAGAAAGAAAAATGGCCCTAAGTATTAATCGTAAAAGGTTTTGCTTTTCTGCAGGGCATCTTCCTTTTGCTCTGTTAAAAAGCTGGCCTCTGAAAAAAGAGCATTCTGAAGCACTTTGTATTTAATCAATGAATTCCCAGTGTGTGCAGGTCAGAGCTACATATGCTGTAAGTCACTTTGTAACCTACTGAATTTGAGAAATAAATTTGTATTCTAGCCACAATTAGTGGTGGCTTAATATGAAGCAATATGAACTTCTCATGCAAGTTGAGAAAGAAATTTTGACCATGAAGAAGAGCAGCAAGCAATTGGCATCTTGGCGAACTTTGAGTGTTAAATTTTTATCTTCAGTGAGCGTTTAATAGATATTTGCAGGGCATAACTGTTAAATGTGTTAAACAATACTTTCCTATTATTTTAATTTTACTTATCTGAAAATATCAGTTTTGTGGGGAATGAAGTATAGGAAGGGGGAAAAGCCTTAATAAAATTAATAATGGCTCTTAATTAATTCTGTATTTATCAGCTCCAGATCTATTAACTAATAATTCTGTTTGAATGTTTCAGTAATATGTTATTGCTCTTGTGTGTTACAGAGAAAAAAATAACTTGGTTTTAGGGCACAGGAAAGACTTTTCAAATTCCATTCTGACCTTTGTATAGCTGGAGCTTCCAGGGATGAGGCTTAAACTTCATGTTTGTGAGTCATTGATGTTAATGATAGATCAGATCACTTGCATAACAGAAAGTAAGCTAGGATAGAAGAGCACTCAGCTACTGGCCTTCTAAGCTTATTTCTAGAGCAAGTACTCTTGGAAGTGGAAATTCACCCTGACTTATCCAGGATAAAATCCAGGTAGGACTTTGCTATAGCCATAACAAAAGTCTACTTGTGCCTGGGAAAAGGTGGGTCTGTGTCTAACTTGCCAAGCACGTTTATCATGGTGTAAGTCATTACTGTTGGGAAACTGGAGGAGCTTATTCAAGCTCCATAAAACTCTTGTGGTTTGAGGTCAGACACAGTCTGATGTGAGCATGACATGGCTGAAGTCAAGTGCAAGAACTTAGAGTAACAATATGAGTGCACTTGTCTCAGTTTGCAAGTACTTAATCAGTGAATTATACTTCTAGTATTGAATTAGTTAAAATTCAATTTGAATTGTGGAAGTATGGTAGAAAAACTAGACTTTGTGAATCTGTGTTTTGAAATGAGGATGGTGAATGTAATTGCCCTCTAAAAGGTAACCAAATTCTACAGAGTAGTTTACCAGACTTCCTGTGACCTGTCGAATCAATAAATGACATGCTGGGTTTTTCTTAGAAGTCAATAAATGTGTTACCTCTTTTGTGATTCAGATATGTAAGTCCTCATAAGTACTTTAAGCCACTGTAGCTGCTGTTAATGAAATACCTCATACTGGATTCCTATGAAGTGACTTAAGTGTCTTGTTTAGGTGTTCCAGACAGTGTTAGCTTTTTCCCCAGTAACAGACATACTTGATGCTTAAAAAATAAGATCGTTACTAAACCAGTGTCTTTGAAATGCAGAGTAAGGCTAATCTAGTGATAAACAGCCATGTGACATGTCTGGAAGTCTGTGTGCAAGGTATGCTCCCAGCACACTCCCAGTCCGGAAATACTGGCCTATCTGCATCCCCAGGCTCTTGACTGAGGATGGAGATGCGAGCAAAATGTGTTCTTGATTATTGCAGATTCCAACTGGAATCTGCAAGTGTGTAATAGTCTTCATGACTTAACTTAAATGCTCAGTCCTGGCCTCAATGCTGTGATGATTTCCTCTTGCTAAGGAGATTGGTTATGGTCTTCCTAGTCTGTCATTAACTGCTAGAAATTGAGAATAGTTGTCATGATGTTTCTCATCAGGTTGAACTTCTATGTAACTATAATGTAATTATGTCATTATGGATTCACATCTGTAGTTTTACTCAAGGAAAATGGCTTTGTATTTCCATTCCAAATATTTTGGACTATGGAGAAATGAAAACAGATGCCTGTGTTTCTATTGAAATAAAGGGTTTTTTGAGTTGCCTGTGTTTCTATTGAAACAAAGTTTTTTTTGATTTTTTTATTTTTTAAAAGCTAAGAGAATGTTCACGTTCTGTCACATTAAGCTCTGAAATAGCTCGATTCAATGCAGTAGTGGCTGCTAGTGAGATTTTTTTCATAATGTTTGCAACAGGTTTTTGGAAATATTTTCAAAATTGTTAATCATGCTTCAAGGGCTTTGCACTGATTTAAAATTAGTATATTCTGATATTAAAAAAAACCAACCCTCTTGGAAGGTGGTGAAACTATGTATTTTATTAAGCTAGTGTGGTGCATATATAAAAATAAAAAGCTTCCTACTGTTGTTTTAAAATAATATTGTTTTTAAAGCTCTAGAACGCACCTTGTATTATTACAGGTTGGTTCGTTGCTTTTATTATTAAAGCCTTGTGAGTCTGTGGTTGTGTCTCTTAGGAAATCTAACCAGTGAGAATTTCACATAATTAGTAGTGCACGTTTAACATATGTGACAAAGGAAGAACACTTGGTTTAAAATATTCACAGCTCAGTACCTCAAATGCCAAATCAGTACTTTTGTATCTTATTATATTGATTTGCTGGGGATGTGAGGGAAGTTCAATGTAGTTGCTACCTTTGAAATTTTGTGCTGATGCTGTTTTGTGGGTGACACATCATATACCTGCTTTACTTTTCCTCAGATGTTTTGCTGTATCTGCTGAAAACCTAAATGTCATGTTATGGTACGGATAGAGTAATAAGCTATTCTCTTCTTGATACAAAGAGAGTAGATTGTATTTGTTATCAGAGGCAGTGGAGGAATGTAAGGAGAAATACAATGCAATCAGAGCAGTGGCTAGGGAAAAAGTTTCTGTGGTGGAAGGTGAGTGGGAGAAGTTAATATTTTTCAAGGAAGGCAGAGGAAATGATGAGAAGCCAGAACATAGAAGCTGTTTGATCATCCTGTTTGTGAGAATGGATTCAAACAAGTTAGGAAACTAGACAGTTAATATTCAGCACAGATAGGAAAGCCTATAGGGAAGTCCATGTTGATGATGGCTAAATTACAGCCTTAAGTGACTGGCGAGATGGTGGTATATGTAAAGAGGAGGGATTTCTAAGCTAGATATTTTAAAATATTAACAAATACTAACATGTCTTGCCCTTACCTAATACATGCAATGTGGCTTCTGATTTTTCTAAGCTATTCTTTATTCCTTTTCAGATTTAGCTGCATCCAGAAATTTGTGAGAACTGCTGAAAACATTTTCTAATGGATATGGTAATTGAAAGATCCTGACTAATAACAGAGATTGAACTCTGTTTTACAGAAAAGGAGCTGACAGTGCAGCTGAGCCAAGTTTACTTAGCTGAGGTGAACAGTCTATAGCATGAGACAGTAAGATGATTAGTTTGACTGTGAGTTGAACTCAGTAACTTTAAAAATGGATAAAAAGCGGATGCACATTAAAGCTCTGAGAATCAGATGTATAACTTTCTGTGTATTCTAATTGACTTTAAGCTATGGTTCCGTGGTAACATATGATACATGCAGTCTCATAATGAAAGTTTTAATTGTTCTGTTAATATTCTGCCTTCATGCATGGATTATCGTTAGAATAAAATGTTATTGAATAGAAGGAAGGCAGCTTATGTGATACTGTTACTGTACCATCTTGCTGTAATTTTTTTTTTTTTTGCAAGAAGGAGCTATAACAAATATAACTTACTGCCTTTACATTGCACCAAAAATATCCTGGCAATGAAAAAGACATTCTAACAATGTTTGTGTAGTGCAGGGATTAGTACTTTTACAGACAAGTTACAGCCCAACATTTTGAATTGCTAATGAATCTGGACAAATCAGAACAGTTGTTGAACAGTTAGTGTTGTAATGCTATAAGCACTAATCATTTTTATAGCGAATGTCTATAATTTCTTACGTGGGCAGAAGGCAGAATTCTAGGACATCTTACTGCTATTCAGTTACTGGATTGGTTGAAGGTCAGTTTGATCTAGATGCAAAGTGCTTTTGCTGCTCAATAACCAACATTTGCAACATGTTTCACACAGTCAGGGATTTGATGTGCACTGCAGGATACTGGCAGATAACTGTGGAAGTATCTGCTCCACTTGAAATCCTTATTCTGCATTTCTGTTGTTTGTTTCTGAGTACTGAAAAAATATAGTTGTGGGTTGTATCCTACTCCTAATTTTTAGGACATACCTGAAGTTAAAAGTGCTTACATTCTCTATGTAAGCTGCCCCTGAGTTAATAATGTCTTTCAGGCTTATGCTGGAATCTCAAAAATTTCAGCCATGTACAGCTGATCAGTATCTTGTTTCGAAGCCAACATATAACTTGTGGCAAGTGTTTGCACCTGCATGTTATTGTTGAGTTTAAAATGATGCAATAAGATTAAGCAAGGTTTGGAGTTGTTGGAAGTATCTACTGAAACAGGAGGAGCTCTGGGTTTAGGCCGCAACTTCAGGAACTGTGGCTAATCCTGCTGTTCTTTCCTGTTATTTCCAGCAACATGCATTAGGCAATTACATAGGTAACTGAGTATGACTTGACAGTCAGATCTCCATTTTGTGGGCTTCTGTTTTGTGATGAAGTCCTAATAACTGTATAAGCCAGACTCCTGCCATCTTTAAGGGCCTAACTGAGATGCAGGAGGGCTTCCCAGGTGGCCAAGAAGGCCAGTGGCATCCTGGCCTGGATCAGGAACACTGTGGCCAGCAGGACCAGGGAAGTGATTCTTCCCCTGGACTCAGTGCTCGAGTAGTGTGTCCAATTTTGGGCCCCTCAGTTCAGGAAGGACATCGAGGTGCTGGAGCAGGTCCAGAGAAGAGCAACAGGGCTGGTGAAGGGACTGGAGCACAAGTCCTATGAGGAGAGCTGAGGGAAATGGGGTTGTTCAGCCTGGAGAAAAGGAGGCTCAG